AGAGAAAGAATCAAGTTGAGCCATTAACCGTTTGAGAGTGTGAAGCTCATCCTGGGAAATATAACCGGTGTCACCCAAGGCACTAGCAGTAGTCTCAGAAACATGTGCTTGAGGACGAACACCACCACCACCACCACCACGGCCTCAAGTAGGCCGACCATGCAACTTCCAACAGTGCTCTTTATCATGTCTATCTTTCCCACAATAATCACACTTCAACCGGTCCCGATCAACCAAGGGACCCTTACCACCACCCTGAGGCAAACTAGGCTGAGTATCACGTGACTTTGGGGCTATAACCATCGCTGACCGATCCTAAATAGGGACATGCACCATAGCACTACGACGACTCTCCTCCTGCTAAACCAAGACATAAGCCACATACAATGTGGGAAACGGAGAGCAACCCAACAACTGAACCCATATCTAATCATTCTCCAAATTCAGGCTAGCAAGAAAGTCATACACCCGCTCCTTCTCCACAGCCTATTGAAATATAGTGGCATCCGTGGAGCAAACTGGCTGGAAACTCTGGTAGTAATCTAGCTCCTACCATAAACCACTTAACTCAGCATAGTAGACTACAAGAGAGCGATCCTTTTGATCTAAGCTCCGAATCTTCTTTCTCAATTCATAGGCCTGTGCATCATTACCCTTTTAAGAATACATCTGAGAGGCGGCTATCCAGATCTTGTGAGCAGTATACATTAAGAGAAAAGTCCAACTAATGGTCGGCTCTATAGAATTGATCAGCCAGGCCATAATTGAAGCATTCCCAGAAATCCATTGAGCGGATAAGGCACCATCCTCAGTAGTTTGCTTGGTACTACCGGTAATATAGCCAGTCAAACGTCGGGCGGCAATGGCAAGACTGCAAGAGCAGGACCAAATCAAGTAATTGGTACCATTAAGCTTGACCAGACTAATCTAGAGAGGACTATCACCAAGAGTCTTATCACGATTCAGTCCACTCTCCTCCTTGCCCTTAGAGTCCTAACCCTCACTTTCAGCCATGAGATGAGAGAAAGATGGTGCAAAAACACAAGAAGGATATCAAACAAGTCCTGAAAACATCTAACCAGCACAGCAACTCACCTTCTAAGGTTGAAACAATGCAAAATAATCCCAGAACAAAGCAACCAGATCAACTAGGAGATTGAAAACCGAAGCAGACCATCCAAAACTTGGAAAAAATCCAAGGTAGGTCCAAAAAAACATCAAAACAAGGATAGCAAACCCTCTAGGGTTCTAATCGGCTCCCCAAGATATGAGGGAAAGGGAAAAAACCAACCAAAAAGTGCTCAAACAGTGACTTTCGAAAAATCACCCAGTTTGGACGAAAAATCAAAAAAAAAAAAATAGGGAAAAAGCAATCAATAATAAGAAAAAAATCAAAAGAAGATTATAGAATACATACCCATTAGATTTCGAGCATAGTGCAAATTTATTAATTTTTTATTTTTTATTTTTACAATTGATACATGTACCAGGATACAAGGAAGGAAGAATGAAAGGAACAATCTTCAAGGAGAAAGATATTACTCTGATACCATGTTGAATGTATTGAATGTATAGATGAGAATAAGTTGAAGTTGTAGAATGAGAGAGAGAACGAAACGGCTGCTGTATATAATATTGATTCAAAAACATAGGGTTTTCCCTTTACACACAACTATTTATAATAATAAGAATAAGATATAATGACCAAACTACCCCTAACACTTAACACCAAACCATCTCAATCTTTTCTGTCTCAACTTATCTTCTATCGGTACTACTCCTACTCATTCTTGAACATACTCATTCCTGTCTTTTCTAGTCTTGCCACACATCCACCTTAGCATCCTCATCTCAACAGCACTCATCTTCTCTACATGTGGTTTCTTAGTTGTCCAACATTCCGTCTCATACAACATCGCTAGTCTAATAGTCGTTCTATAGAACTTCCCTTTTAGTCTAATGGGTACTCGTTTATTATACAGTACTCCAGACGCACTTCTCCACTTAAGGCACTCTGCTTTAATTCTGTGGACCACATCCGCTCCAATCTCCCCAGTTGTTGTGATAATCGATCCTTAATAACAAAAATGTTCACTCTTAGGTAGTTCTTGGTTCTCAATCTTCATTTCTTCTCTGCTTCCATTGTGACTGTTACTAAAATTACACTCCATATACTCTGTCATGGTTCTGCTTATCCTAAATCCTTTAGATTTAAGTATTTTTCTCCAAATCTCCAACTTAGTATTAACTCCTTCTCTAGTCTCATTCACTAACACGATATCATCTGCAAAAAGCATACACCATGGCACATCATCTTGAATATCATGCGTCAACTCATCCATAACTAAAGCAAAAAGATAAAGACTTAAAGTTGATCATTGGTGTAACCCTACCGAAATTGGAAATTCACTCACCTCTTCAGCAAGCGATCTAATAGTGGTCGTCATACCTTCATACATATCCCTAATCACATCAACATAACATTTTGTCACCTCTTTATTCTCTAACACCCACCAAATTATGTCTCGAGAAATTTTTTAATGAGTAAGAATACATGATGTAGACAAAACTAGTAAAGAATACTGCCAGCAACTAAACCAGTGGTGAACTTGCATTCAAAAACATCACAACAATTATCATCAATAGAGGCCCGAAGAGAGAGAAAGAAGAAGATAACAATAGGATCTGAAAGATAGTACGTCGGACATAGTGCAAGACGTAATAAAGCAACCCAATGAGTAAAGTGCGGTGCAGAGACAAATTTGCTAACCATATGAATAACATAGCAATATCAGCACGAGTTATAGTAAGGCAATCCAAACAACCAATCAACTAACGCAATACAAATTAAGATCATCAAGAGGAAAAACATTAGAAGTAGAAAATTTTGAATTTAAGTCAATGGGAGTATCAAATACATTATCAGAGAGTTAGGCATGATCGATAATCTCATGATTATATTAGGATTGACACAAAAGATAGCCCTTGAGCTAAGAAGATACTTATATACCAAGAAAGTAACATAGAAGGTATAAATCTTCCATCTTACATTCACAAAAAAGATGTTTTACAATAGCAATAACAGCAGATTTATCATGTCATCCACATATAATAACAAAAACAATCATCCCAACAATCCGTATTGTGAATAAAAATAATGGAATTATGAGCACTAGAGTGAAATCCAAACCAAGTAACAATTGGTTGAAAGCGGTCATACCAGAAATGATGAGACTGTTTTATACCACAAAAGGCATGACACAGACGAAGACATAGCCAGTGACAAAATAAATGGCTAAAGGAGGGTGCATAAACTTTGCCATTAAGATGTCCATTGAGGATAGCATTCTTGACATCCAACGGAGAAATTGACCATAGACAAACAACATCAATAGAAATAGACGTACAAACAATAGTTATCTTAGCTACAGCAATAAAAGTCTCCTCATGGTCAAATCCCACAACTCTTCAAAGAATCCTTGGCAACTAAGCACGCCTTATATTGCTTCAGAGGTCAATCAGAGTGAATTGAATTGTGAATCATAAGATTCTGACAGCTATGCATGGTATTACCACTACCACTTGAATTTTCAAGACGCTAACCATAATAAACCATAATCTTTAACCTCGTATTCTAACAAACGTAGACAAATTTGTTTAATTTCATGTATTTCAGTCAATTCCCCGTCTTCATGTGTACGAGGCTAAATGTATTCCAATTTTGCTCATAATTAGAGGATGATGTGGTTTAGCTCAACACTTCAACTGTAATTTATTGAAATTTAGGGGCAAATGCACCATAATGGATCCATCATTCAGCTACAAGGAATGGTAACACTGTTTAAAAATTCAATAACAAATTAACATTTTTAGAAATGTTATGAAAGACTAAGGCCTCGTTTGGGATGCTACATTTTTAGCCAATTAGCCAAAAAGTTACTAAATTAGCCAATTAGCCAATTAGTCATACCAAAAAGTCAACAATTACGGCTTTTCTCTACTTTTTGCACAGCTTTTCGTACTTAGTCAAAAAGTCATCCCAAACATACAAGTTTTTTTTACCTACCTTTTTAGCCAATTAGCCAAAAAATTACTAAATTAGCCTGTTCCTAAACGAGGCCTAAGCTTGAATCCTTAAGTTTTAAGTCTTAAATGAGTAGATCTAAGTATTTGAAACAAGTGGAGCAATAACTGAGAGAAAAGAAGAAAAAATAAGTGAAATGTAACCTAGATCAAGCTGGAATGTGCCATATACCGATAGAGAACGTATTGGTTAAAGTAATAGTGGTAAATATTGGCTGATAATACATGAATTTTTTCATTCCAATAAATTCATGTTCATCTGAATTGGGACATCCAAATACCACTATCTTGTAACGGCAAATACATTACATAACCGATATTTCAAACCATGATGTCCATCTTATGTCCATGTGACCATGTTTTTAAGGTTTTTAAATAGACACTCACACATGAAAAGGGCATGCAAGAGATAACATGATTTTCCAACTGCCCATTTTTTATATTTCAATCGTTTGCCTCTAGAATTTCATTAGACAAATGCATCACATCATGCTACAAAAGCAAATTTTGGTGTCCAATGAAATTCTAAGGGCAAACGACCGAAGTAGTAAAAAATGGGTAGTTAGGAAATTATATTATCTCTCAAATACCCTTTTCAAGAGTAGGTTTCCACTAAAAACCTAAGCCTAATAGATATGGACAGAGGGTTGAAATTGAAACACTTTTCATAATTGAGGGGCTGAATTCAAACTAGTAACACAGCTCAAGGGCCAATAGTGTAATTTACGCTAAAGAAAAATGCATTGAAATAATTCAAAAGAAAATAAAACTAAAAAGCAGGCATGGTAGAACTCTGAAAGAATGCTAGAGAATGAACTATGAAAAAAATAACTGACAAAAATCAATAAAATTATTGATAAGAATTAAAACCAAAGCAAGCAGGGTACAACTCCAACAGCACTAGAAAATTAACTCACAGAGAGTTCTTTTCTTAGTATCTTTGTTTGAAAAAAAGCACGCTCATGCTGGACAAGTGAGTGAATACCTAATAAGCATGAAGAATAAAAGAATTAGTTGAATTAAAACATGAATCCCTGGAAGGTGTCAGAGAAACTATAGGAAAGGAGAACGTAAAAGAATAAAATAAAAAATAAAAAAAAGCATGGCAAACATCTAAATTCACATGTTACTTGCGTGTTGTAAATGGCTGGCTCCATCTGTATGGTCAGTTCTGAGTTCATGCCTCTCATTGATTGGGCAAAGATGTGCCACAACACTGTTAAATACCTTGGTCTAAAATATCAAGTGTCTTTCCCTTCCTCTATCGGCTTTCTGTTACAAACGTCAATCACAGAGGCGTAATTTGCATGGCCTTCAATCTGCAATGTTACCTCCTCAAATTTATATATTCTAACTTACGAATTCTGCAAGGGGCTGTTGTTAGCACAAGATAATTTTGTTACAATAAAAGAACAACATTGACTGAAAGAATTCAATTTAGATGGCTAAAAAAATTTGTTTGTGGAATTGACATATCTGCTTTGATAGCCAAATGAAAATTAATGAAGTAAAGAATCAAACATATTCCCTTCATAAGACTTCCAACTTCAACTCTGAAGAAGCATGGAATAAAAAAAAAAACATTTATTACATTTGTACTCTCTCCCTCCCCTTCTCTTTCCAAAGTAAAAAAAAATTCAACACAACACACTCAGCACTACAGACGATATCTTTAGGTCTCCACCGATATTTTTTGAAATCATTGGAAATTGAAAAATATATATATATATATATATTAAAAACAAAAAGGAAGATTGTCAAAATAACCTGAAATTTTGACCTGCATTTTGTAATACAGGACAAAAATGTTCACTTCATTGTATCAGCTTGTTTCTCAGCAGGTACAAGGATTCAATTCAACTCAACAAAATTCTAGAAGCCTGATAGAGGATTCTAAGGAATATTTCATTTTTCCTATAAGAATATGTAATGTTGTTGGGGAATCCGAGAAGCCCACAAATGCACAGTAACGCTAGCCCTATCTGTCGGGAAGAAACTTCGAAGCCCACGCACAACACTTTAGCCCAACGTACATTGTTTGAAACTATCCATATAAAAGCTTAAGCCTATAAATGGAGAGTCCAAAGAATATTTAAGACCCACTCTTTTTAGTTTTTAGATGATGTAGGACTCTACTTTCACACATGCTTCAACAATCTCCCCCTCTTGTGGACCAAACATTAGGCCTAGCCTAGCTCCCCCTCAAGTCTGATCAATCATCCACAGGTTCACCACAAATCACACGCACTCCTCCGTAATTCTGATCTATTACTCTATAATACCGTGTCCAACTCAGACCACCTATACACACTCCATTGTCAACCACCAGACTCCATCAAGAGTCACCATGTCGTGGACCCGTAAGCCACATGCACCTAGATTTTCCTTGCGCCATCAAGAGTTACCCATGGATTTTCCCCGCTCCATCAACACTATCTATGCAAGCCCACCAACATTGGTACAACCAGGAAAGCTCGCCCACAGATCGCTAACCATCGGCTCTGATACCACTTGTTGAGAAATCCGAGGAGCCCATGATCATGACCCAATCCGTAAAGGAGAAACTCCAAAATCCACACACACAACACCAAGGCCCAACATACATTGTTTGGAACTCATAACCATTTAAAAGCTTAAGCTTGTAAGTGGACAGCCCATCCAATAAGACCCTACTTTTTGTACTTTTTATCCAATGTGGGACTCCACTTTCATACATGCTCCAACAAATGTGGTACTATATTGCAACTCATTAATTTAAAGAATAATGCCCATATTGTATGAATAACTCTAATATTAGTCATTAAGTTAAAAATTATTTTGAAAAGTTCCATAATGAAAGCTGATGCATTCTAGTGATTAATGTACATGAATCTTCCCACAAAAACATTCTTTTCCCTTTTTTTCTATTTCTTGGACATTACCCCGATCAGAAAATTGTCATTATCGGTTCATTATGTCGAAAATGGAGGCTCATTTTAAGGTTTTCAAGAGGAATGAATAATGATAGTATCACAAACAACATGACAAAAGAACAATATTTATGGCATCAGTCCTTTGTAACATGGATGGCTAAATCCCATTTACCCACAACAGAGGAGCAGCCCCTACCAGGTAGGCAGTCAAAAGAGTCATAATGCATTGCCAAATCTAACTTGCAATATGACTGACATTAGTTGTACTAAAATTGTAACCCATGAGAGTTGAAGTGATTTTCAACAACAAATTATATATCCCCTAGCAAACACAAGACAAGTGGGACATAATTTTAACAGATGAATTTACAATTGTCACCTAGTAGCAACATTAAAATTTAAACCACAAAGAAGTATTCAATAGATGTGAATGTGTTATTGATATACGGATTTTAATCAATTCTCAGATTGAAAATACATAAAGAGCAATTTTACAGCTATTACATAATGTGATTTTTACCTTCCACCATGCTAGACAACAGTATCTGTGCAAAACTTTTAAGATTTCCTCTCCATTGGCTGTAAATTACATGGAAAGCCCAAGATCTGCAGTGACAGCACAAGACAGCCAACATGAATGCTAAATGTACAACAGGGCAACCAAACATGGGCATTCTGCTCAAAATTACCCTTAGCTGGTTGCTGTTGGATAAATTCCCAGTAGTGTACAGGATCTGAAGTTGGAAAACACAGATGTGGAAAGCTCAAGCCCTGTTTTCATCTTGCAAGAGTCCCATGCCACGTCTGGGAGGTTCTCATCTGTTTCACCATGAACACAAGCAGAAATATGGCTGTATAAACCATGTATTAACTCAGATGTCAAGCCTTCAAACCAGATGAATTGACCCAACGAAGTTTAAAAGAAAACCAATATCTATGTGGGTATGCTATTCCTCAAATGCATGCATACAGATCTTCTCCAGCAACAATGGCCAGTCTTCTCCAAGCTGCTGTGGATTTAACTCCATTGCTACCTTGAAATCTAGTAACGATATTGAGCAATGCGGTCTCTGCTCTTCCATAGCTTCTTGGGGAGCACCACTACTTTGCATATGCAAGTGATTACTAGGCCACATACCATTAGAAAGCTTGCTTTGAATCTGATGTTTGTGGGCAGACAGCCTTTTCAGCTCATATCCAGCTGTCAACCCAACCAACTCCACGCAAGACCCGATCAACTGCATCAAGTACACATCCAACATATTATTCAACATATTAGCACAGTCCATAGAAACTCCTCCGAGGCCTTGTACCAGTGCAATCTGCTCCATACGTTTCCTCAGTGTTTCTTTATCAGACAAACCCCCACCATCAAAATAGCTAATGACATTACTAGTGCTCGCCGAGGGTAATGCTTTCCGGGCCCCTCCAACACTAGCTGAGCAAAATGGAATCCCAAGAGGAGCATGGAGAGGACTTCTAGAAATATTCAAGTGGCTGGCATGTTCCACCTCTTCGTCATCTTCACCAACATCTGCTTCAGTTTGATCTTTACTATGTAGAGAAAATGGAGCATCTATTGATTTACTTATTCTAGGTCTCCCATTGTCAGGATGCTCAGCAAGTCCTTGAATATGCTGCTCTGACCTACGGTAATCACATGGAACCAAATTGCCATTTTCCATCACAGTCTTCACAAAACTGTCTTCTGTAGCCATTGATGGATAAGATGCACTATCTGCCTTCCCATTAGGTCCAAGAGGGCTAGGCTGCTCACTGAACTTCCTACCACGAATAGCAGACCTTCCCTTTCTTGGGGACACTGGCAAAACAACTCCATTTGACCAAACTGGCACACTTGGCATTTGATTTGAAGAAACTAACCCACTTTGCCCATGGCCATCTTCTATAGTTGGTGAGCTTTTTACAGCTACTACAGCAGATTTTGCGGGTCCCACTTCATGAACTGGAGGTGGAGTCTTTGCATGACATGAATTCTCTAATATTGAACGTATAAATTGATTATGCAATTGTACATTCTCCCTCCCAAAGATCCGAAAACACAACATATCAAACTCAACCTTACTCAACTTCTGATTCAAAAATCTATTCAAGTAATAAAAGTACCGCTTGGACCTCTCAGGCCCAATTTTCTTCACTATCTGAGCCTTCAATTCAGCCACATCAATTCGGGAATTCTGATGTGGTTGCATATCTCAGCTAACAAACTCATACACTACAAATGGCTAATATATATACATATATATTGAAAACCCCAAATCCTTCCGAGCTACGGTTAGCTCAGAGCATCAAAACTGCCCCAAATTTATCCATCCACACACCATAAAATGCAGAGTAGAAACTCATTTTCGTAAAACCCGAAACCCTAGAAATCAGATTAAGCAGAGATCAAACTCACTTAAGAAAGCCCTAATTATTACTCAACTCATATTCAAATTATTCATACCTTAAAACCCAATGACTCGCCGAAACACCAATCTGTTATCAGGTTGAAGCTGTAAAACCCACAAAGTTTCACCATTGTACCCACCAAAAACACTCATATATTCAAAATTCAAACGATTCACAAGTGAAACTCAACGCTGTACACACAGTGACATCGCGAATTGAACTGAAACAAAAGAGATCAACAGGATAGTTTGTTTGAGTTGGGAGGTGAGTTCAAAAAAAAGGTTGGAAATTTTTAACAGACAGAGAGCGAGCAAGCGAGAGAGAGATAGAGAGAATTAATTAACCAGCATGTGTATGAGGACGATGATGATGAATCGTTGAGTTGGGACCTTTGAAAGCGAAGTAAGAGCTTCGAGTTTGGTTGATGTTGTTGGAGAGAGAGAGAGAGAGCTTCGGTGATTTGATTTTCGAAGAGAGCTTTTGAATCTTCAAAAATCGGGATGGTGTTTGCTTTGATTTTGTCTTCCTTTGATTGTTCACTGCAGCATTGAGAGCTGTTGTTTTCGTTCGTTCGTTCGTTCGTTCGTGTCTGTCTTTTTTATTTTTTATTTTTTCTGTTTCCCGTTGCTCTTCTTTCTCAAATTAGATTGCACCCTGGATCGCTGCTAATAATACCCCTCTCTCTCTTGTATTTCTTTTTTCTTTTTCCTTTTTCACTTTTTGCATTGGATAATTCTATCTGCAGTTATATTTAATTCTCCTTTTATATAAATTTAAAACAATAAGTAGTTATATTTAATTCTCCTTTTATATAAATTTAAAACAATAAGTGGAACTAAGGGGTGGAAACTTGGAAAATAAAAGGTGGAAAGTTTGAAAAATAATTACAAAACCATGATTTTATTTATGTTCTTGTTATTTATGTTCTTGTTTCCATGCTTTCTTCTTCCATTTTCTTTATTCCTCTTTGTTCATCTTATTTCTTACAATTTGGCTACTCTTTTCCGGTAGCCAACTAGTCTCCCAACTTTCCTAGGCCCTGGTCTTCCCTCCCTCATCCAATACTCGTTATTGCCAACTCTCACCATATCCTACCTTCTCAGCTCCTCTTTTCATGTTTTTTTTCTCTTTGTGTGTAACCCTCCCTACCTATAGCCACCATCGCCACCATAATGGCTACATGTTCCCCCCATGGCCACCTCTTGCATTCCCCGTCCTTTCACCCCCACTAGTGCCACCACCACCCTTCCAGTCTTCTTCTTTTATTGAAAAGCCCGAGTTACAGCAAACCAATCCATCTCCATCATGACCTCCTTCCCTTTCAAAACCCATTTTCCCTTTTGAAAACCTAAAAAGAAATAGAGATCATGAGTAATAGAGATAGAAGGCATAGAAGAAGGTCAATGAGGAGTTGGGCAGTGTCAAGAAAGCTAAGGAGAATGTAGGTGGTGTCGATGAGAATGGAGAAGTAGAGGTGGCCTGGTGAGGTTGAGTAAGAAAATGGTGGTTAGCAAGTGAGAGGTGACTAGCTGAAAGAGGAAAGAGAAATATATGAAGAGAGAGAAGGGAAAAATAATAAAATGAACCATATTTTTGCAATTATTTTCAATTTTTCACTCATAATTATTTATATTTTGTAATTTACTTTTTTATTTTTATCATAAAACACTGAAACCTACGATACGCACGAGTTCAATCTTCATTCTTTGCCCATCAATAAATGGACCATTTGTTACATAGACACAAGACAAATCTAGAAAATCTTTCTCAAAGTTTACTATTTTGCAAATAGTAATTATTTCTAATAGGTGATCACTTCAACACTTTGATTTTATGTGCATTGGTTATTGGTATAGTGAAAAATATCAATCTCTAGGGTCAGTCAAGCTCAACACCTCAGTTTGAGAATCAAGATTTTCTTCCTCTATCACCCTCTCCTCATCAAGAAAAAAATACTTCAACTTTAGGAGAGGCCAATAATTTAAATATATTTATGTTGTGTTTGGTTGGGGGATTTATGGAGGGATTTGGAAAGGGAAAGGGAAAAGGTGTGTGAAATTATGTGAAATTTAGGCATGTTTTATTCACATTTCACCTACCTTTTCCATTTCTCTTTCTAAATCCCTTCTCAAATCCCCCAACCAAACACAGCATTAGAGAAAATGTTTAAGGAATCTCATTGCATTACCCATTACAAGAGTAGCAATATAAAAATACAAGAAGCGGTGTGGAACGACTCGGGTTTCATACCCAACTTCAATTTGGTAATCAAATATATTTGTATTACTTTTGGATCCATCCATCATTGTGACCGTTAGTACTGTAATACATTGTTGGACTTAGTATCAATTTGAGAGTGTGGTTGGGGTGAGTTGTGATTAGGTAGCTGGGCTACAATAGGATGTGCGGTTGTGTCCCTGCTTATGTAGGGGGAGTAGAGTCACATGACCACTTAGCTTTTATTTCCTTTCTTCATTCTGTTTTCCTTTATATGACCAAAAACCTTCTCCTGTATAATTCACTTTCTCTTTCTCTCACTAAAGTTCTCTTTTTGTCTCTCTAAAATTTCTTCGTAGAGCTTGTCGAGGGTTGTGTTTCTACTGTTTCAATCTTCAATTTCGTTAACTTCTAGAGATCTAGGGCTTTTCTTCTCTCTTAATTGAGGTAGGGTTTTTCTTTCTTAAGTTAATATGAGTTTGATGATGTATGTGTGGTTTAATTTCTCTACAAAACTTGATGTTTAACTTGCATGTTCATACTCATCTTAGAGAATTGAAATTGGTTGAATAAAACTCTCTTATACTTTCATTTCTTTAATTTTATAGAAATATTCATTCAATACATGATTTAAATGAAAATCCCCCAAATTCTTTCATTTAACCCTAATAAATTTTGAGATTTCAAAAGTATGACTTACCCTCTTAAATACATTTCTTTTAAAGTAGAAAATCAGTAAAAGTTTCAAAGATTTAAATTTCATTCCCCTCTCTTTAATTTGTTTATAACCTAATTTGTTGATTGGTTATGATAGAACACATATTCTTTAATCAACTCATATTTATACATCGTAGTTTGATTTTGAACTAAAGGATAAATGAAAACATGTTATTAATTTTGTACTGCTTATATGATTGGAAAAAAGGAACTATGACTGAAACAGTTGAGAATTGAAAATAGATGTTGAACTCAATATTGTAAATTGAAAATTTGTAAATTAAAATTGAATGGCCTATCTTAAAACTTGAACGAAAACTAAGAAATTTATTACTCGTATATTGTTTAATCATCATAAGTTTTGAAACTAGAAAACTTGTCGATTTTAACCATGTTATTATAAGATGTTATTTTGATAAATGTGATGTGGAAATGGAAAATGTTTAATTAAGAATATTGAATTGAAAACAGTATTGGAAGCTTATGATTGTCGTAATTGTTTTATAGTGAATGTGAATCGAAGCTTTGAAATGGAAAAATTGTTGAAAATTTGGAAAATATTTTGGTTAAGTGGTGAATCGGTGTAGTATGTAGTTTCAGCTATTGTTAAGTTGGCTTAAGATCCTTGGTAAAAGACTGAAAACCAGCGCAAAGTAGGTATCAATTTTCTTTCGGCTAGAAACCAATAAAGTGGGGGTTATTAGGTGGTTCTTATGATAGACCACTAGCAGTTACACAACCTAGGGACTCACCTCAAATTACATATAAATAGAATTTTGTGAATTTGAAGGAAAATATGAATTTGATCAAAGTGTATTAAATTAAGAAAATTTACTTTGAAACTAAACTTGTATTTTCTTCATTGAACTATTGAACTTTTGAGGTTATGTTATGATTATCGTAAAATTGGAAACTTGATTTTATAATCAATTTAATTTATAATGTGTGGACTCGCCTTTTTCCGCGCCCCACCTTTCGGAAAGGATTTGAAAAAAAGGCCTCACAGTTCGAACTCTCGTGGTTCTGAATCTAGTCTCACAAGTGCAATGTGAAACTCATAATCACCAAAAAGTCCAAATTCGGCAAACCTTTTTAGAAAATCGATTTTCAATCAAATAATGCCAAAATTGGATTGCTTTGCTAGATATAGAGTCGCCACCTAAATATTTTGTTTTGGGGGAAATTTAGGAAACCCTGACTCATGCCAAAGGCCACGCGTCCGTCATCACCAAAGTTGCCTCGGCTCGGGAACTTAGGTACGAGAGGGGAAGGTCCTGAAATGAGCACCCTCACTCGCCCGATCAAAGATCGGCCTCTACTAATTATGATATGATGTTTTATAAACATTATGTATTCTTGTTCTGATTATTAAACTAGCTTCACTATGTGACGCACACAAGCAATTATAGACTAGTTTACAAGACTTGGAACAATTCAACTCAAGTTTGTTTGCGAAAAAGGTTTGAATTTGCCACCCCAAGTGGGCTTAAAGATACGGATTTGCCACCAAACATAATGGGCTTAAAACAGATTTGCCACTTAACAAAGTGGGCTTAAAATGCACATTTTATTGAATCGTTCCAATTCATGCAACAAGCCTTCATCCACAGGCATTCATGCAGTTTAGCATTTAAGTACATAGCCTCATGGCAAGCATGCTAATCATGGCAACATTCACACTTATGCAAGTATACTAAAGCGTAAAAACTCACCTAGTACTCCAAGCCAAAACAGAAACTTGTTAGAAAGATGCATGATCCTAACTCTACAAGATGTCTAATGCAACACATGCAATATGCAATTAATAGGCTCAGCTACTAATATGGCATATGAATCGATTTGAACAACATGTAGTTAAACACGTATTCAAATAAGTATTGAAATGACAATGCAGTTTGAATGATGCACCGAGCCTCAGTGCATGCAAGACAAATAAATGGATGCAAACATGCGATATGCTAATCGAAACATGATCCTTAATCTAACCATCGAAAGCAATTAAATAAAATGGAGAAAGATGTGGAATTGGAAGACATACACACAAACACATACACACTTTATTACAACATTACGCCCTCGCGAAAGAGGGTCCAAATGAATAAACTAGCTAGCTAAGCTAAGCTAATTAAACTAATTATTACAAACCAAATAAATAATTTAACTAACTATCTAAGCTAATTAAAAGAAATTAACTAGGCTAAGCTAATTAAATATTACAACATCATTTGCTATGCTAATGAAACAATTAAATAACCAAACGCATTTGATATAAGCATGGCGGGAGATGGATAGAGGTTGCATGTGCATTGCCTGAAAGCTGCTATGTCTGCTCCAGACTGCCTCTATTTCACCTTCAGCCACTGCCTCTGTTTCTGCAAAACTGCACTGCTGGCCACACACCAAGGGTCGGCCATGCATTACTGATGGCCAACCGGGCCCACAAAGGGCCGGCCGTGTATTGATTTGGTGCAAACTCTGTTTCTATGCTCTGAGGTGAAATCAGTGCAGATAGAGCATTTTCAAGCTCTGTTTGTCCTTCCACCCTTCTTTGTCATAGGAGGGCCTTAAGAGAAGAATGGAATCATTTTTAAAGACATTAATGAGCAATTAATTGCTTGATGCTTTAGGACATGATTTTGGACAAAATCAATAAATGTAATACAAATGGACCACCCCTCCCTTTTTTTCATGACATTAACTCAAAGAAGAGAACTTGAGACACCTCAAGGACATCAAAAAC